CAATTCTTCTGACAACCCAACTTACACCCCCTGGACAAACCTAACTTACTCCCTGACAACCTAACTTACTCCCTGACAACCTAACTTACACCCTGACAACCTAACTTACACCCCCTGACAACCTAATCTTACACTTCTGACAACCTAACTTGTCCCCTGACAACCTAACTTACACCCCGACAACCCAACTTACACCCTGAGCAACCAATCCTACCTCTTGACATCCCAACTTACACCTCACAACCCAACTTACACCCTGGACAAACCCATCTTACAATCTTTGACAACCTAATCCACAACCCCTGACAAACCTAACTTAACTCTGTCAACCTAACTTACAATCTCTAACAACCTAATCTACACCCTCAACAACCTAACTTTACACCTCTGACAACCTAACTTACACCCCTTGAATAAACCTTCCACCCCTGACAACCCAACTTTACCTCTTGACATCCTAACTTACAATCTCAATAACCCAATCTATGTTCTTAGAGACAACCCATCTTACACCTTGACAACCTAACTTACACCCCTGACAACCTAACTTACACCCTGACAACCTAACTTACACCCTGACAACCTAACTTACAACTTCTGACAACCTAACTTACACCCCTGACAACCTAACTTACACCCCACAACTCTAACTTACACCCTGACAACCTAATCCCATAACCCCAACAACTCCAACTTACACCCCAACAAACCTAACTTACACCACAAATCAACTTACACCCCTAATAAACCATCTGCCACCCCGACAAACTTATCTACACTTTGTCAACTTAACTACACCTTGACAACCAACTTACAATCTCCCGACAACCCAACTTCTACACCCCTGACAACCCAACTTGCAACTCTGAGCCAACCCAACTTACACCCCACAACCCAACTTCATCCCCTTTGACAACCCAACTTACACCTGACAACCCAATCCAACACCTCTGACAAACCCAATCCTGCCCCCTGACAAACCTAGAACTTACACCCTGACAACCCAACTTACACCCTGACAACCCAACCCACACCCCTGACAACCTAACTTACACTCTGACAACCTAACTTACACCCTGACAACCTAACTTGGCTAACTTCTGACAACCTTAACTGGCAACTTGACAACCTAATCCACCATAACAACCTAATCTTACCCTCATTAACTCTTCAGATTAGTTTGGTACAGATTTTAAATTATTCGACACGTCTTGAGTCTCGCGTATATATTCACATTTCGCTATGATATTTTGTTGTTGAGTTGTTATAATCTCATTAGTGTAATTTTTATTAGTAACTCTTATACATCTCTGTATTCTCATTTCTTGATTCCCTTTATTTTATTTACTCTGACATTCACAAACAAAATCTTACGAGATCTTTTATGGTGGCATCATAAGTGGTCGTTCAAAAGCTCTTCCACAGGTTGAGGCAAAACTGTCTTTTTTCTTTGCCCTCAACAAGAGAAATTTCACCAAAACGAACATACATTTTTCTGTCTCGTAACCTGGAACCAAATAAGTTCCAAGTTCTCTCAGAGTTTATCGGCAGCCTCGAATGTCTCTTGGACTGTCTAGCATCGAATATCTGGTGACCCGTCATATCCGCCCACCAGCACGTCGGGGGTCGGTTACACATCATTACTCACAAGCCCTTAGCTGCATGGACGACACCGGCTTCTGTTTTCTTGGCCTTGTTGCTCGGGATACGGTTCTGCAAGTGCACTAAATGTTTTTGGGTTTTTTGGGGAGAGGAATTGATTAGTTCAGTATTGTTTTCCTATGTTATCAGTATTGCTTGTGGTGCATCTTAGACTAGTTGTAGATAATAGTATATATTTTATAAGTCTTGTGGTGATTAAAATCCAAAATGGCAATAGTGCTCCTTGGGACGTGTTCGATATATTGTTTATATTATACAATCTAATCCTGTATCTTATTTTATCTAATTTCTTATCATTCACCTTATTTATTATTATTTATATATCAAACGTGTTTTTATCCATCATTCATTAAAAGAAAAAACTTTAGATTACATTTAAAATATTTCTTAAAAACCAAACGTTGACCTCAAAACAAAATCTACCATGAGCGCATATTGACTCCACCCGCTGGCCAGACTCTCGAAAGCCAACACATCTGAAGACTTCTGCACAGGCTCCAGATCCCCACAATACCTGTAGCGTAGACCCACTAATTAAGTATGATTTGGTCATTAAGGTAAGGTTAGGTTAGGCTATAACGATCATCAGATTATAACCCGTCAATTGTTATATAATTTATGTCACAAATCGCTACCATATTATACTAAATTTTACAGACAGTGAGCAACACCAACCCACCCACCTCCAAACCCACCCTCCAAACCCCACCTCCTCCAAACCCCACCCTCCAAACCCCACCCTCCAAACCCACCCTCCAAACCCTACTTTTATAGCGGTAACAATAGTGATACAACCTGGACGCTCTCACCTGACAGTAGGTTATGTGTGTTCCCAGAAGGACCTCAGGTAAAGACATTGACTACTGTTTGGTCTCGGGAGAACCTATCCCCTCCTCAGTGACGTCCCCACCCCCAGTACCCTTTCCTCTTGTGTTTATTGAGTACGGTGTTTCTCTTCTCTTAGATATCGTGAATTTAACGACATCCCGCGACAGATGATAGCGTTTACGATAATAACTTAAGGGGATACCGTACCTAACTTTTACGATAGCTTAACGATGTCGCACTTTCCCGCTTCAGTTATAATTAAAGTTTTCTCAGACGTACACACAAATTGAATCTTTCTTTGTTATGATAATTTCTTCGAATTTTGTGTCACTCCAGAACTTAAATTGATCATCGGAGTCAAATAAACTTTTTTGGTGGGTCATTTTTCGTCACTTTAAATATTTATCTTTGTATTTTATTTCACTTTAAAAGAAAATTCACATATTTTTACATCATTGTTTAGGCATTTACTATACCCTGCACACCCCTTCAATCCCACTCCACCAACCCCACCTCAACCCCACCCCACCAGCCCCACCCCCTTCAACCCCACCCCCTTCAACCCCACCCCACCAACCCCACCAACCCCACCCCCTTCAACCCCACCCCACCAACCCCACCCCTTCAACCCCACCCCACCAACCCCACCCTACCAACCCCACCCCACCAACCCCACCCCACCAACCCCCACCCCACCAACCCCACCCCACCAACCCCACCCCACCAACCCCAGCCCCTTCCAACCCCACCCCACCAACCCCACCACCAACCCCAGCCCTGTTCAACCCCACCCCTCCTTAACCCCACCCCAGCCCCACCTTTCAACCCCACCCCACCAACCCCACCCCACCAACCCCAGCCCCTTCAACCCCACCCCACCCCACCAGCCCCACCCCTTCAACCCCACCCCACCCCACCAACCCCACCCCACCAACCCCACCCACCAACCCCACCCCACCAACCCCCAATCCACCAACCCCAGCCCCCTTCAACCCACCCCACCAACCCCAGCCCTTCAACCCCACCCCACCAACCCCACCCCACCAGCCCCACCCTTCAACAACCCCACCCCACCAACCCCACCCCACCAACCCCCACCCCACCAACCCCACCCCCACCAACCCAACCCCACCAACCCCACCCCCACCAACCTCCACCCCCACCAACCCCACCCCACCAACCCCAGCCCCTTCAACCCCACCCCACCAACCCCACCTCTTCAACCCCACCCCACCAACCCCAGCCCCTTCCAACTCCACCCCACCAACTCCACCCCACCAACCCCACCCCACCAACCCCACCCCACCAACCCCACCCCACCAACCCCACCCCCACCCCAGCCCCACCCCCGTCCAACCCCACCCCACCAACCCCACCCCCACCAACCCCACCCCCCTTCAACCCCACCCCTTCAACCCCACCCTTCAACCCCACCCCACCAGCCCCACCCCACCAGCCCCACCCCTTCAACCCCACCCCACCAGCCCCACCCCAACCCCACCCCACCAACCCCCAACCCCTTCAACCCACCCTCACCCCACCCCACCACACAACCCCAGCCCCTTCAACCCCACCCACCACACCAACCCCAGCCCCGTTCAACCCCACAGCCCCACCCTTCAACTCACCCCAGCCCCACCCTCCACCCCATACGTCAGCCATATAAGACTTATGTTTCACAGGACTAACATACTGTACGTATTCCAATCCTTTATAAAGAAAAATCCTCCGTATCAAGTCTCTTCCGTCTGTTTCTGTAATCTGTCTAATTTTTGTCCTGTTGCCTGTCCCTGTTTTCTGTACACCTGTCCCTAATCTGTCAATATTTGCCCTGTCTGTAATTTTTATCTTCTGTTCGTTATTCTCTCTTCTTTCTTCTTTTAATCTTTCCTTGATATTTTTCTCTCTCTCTCTCTCTCTCTCTCTCTCTCTCTCTCTCTCTCTTTTATTTTCTGTTTTCTGTAATTTACTTGTTTCCCCCCTAATCTGTGTGTGTGTGTGTGTGTGTGTGTGTGTGTGTGTGTGTGTGTGTGTGTGTGTGTGTGTGTGTGTGTGTGTGTGTGTTTGTTTTACTCTTTATTTCCCTTGTTTTTAATTGTCTTTTGTTATCTTACCTCTTTGTCTGTTAGTGTTGTATTTTCTTTAATTTGTTCTCTTTTTCCTTCATCTATTGTAATTGTCTTTTCTTTCTTACTCCCTTAATTTATTTCTCTGTCTCCCTTATTTATCATTCAAGGATTTTTCTTTTTTCTTGTCTTTTCTACATTTCTTGGGTTTGTTTATTTTTTTCTTGACCCTTATCATCTATTTTCCTCTCCTAGCTATTGTCTTCTTTGTCTTCCATATAATACTTCTTTATTTTTCCTCTTGTGTCTTATGATTTAGCTTTATTGCGTATTATTTATCCATCTTTCGCTTCGCTTCATTATTCAGTGAAACCTCGATTTAACTGGCTATAAGGAGAGGAAAGTCCATTATATCAAGGGGTCCATTAGATGTGAACACCCCCTCTCATATATAGAGATAATTTCGTTATATCGATGTTTCACTGTTATGTATTACCTTTAATTTATCTTTCTTTATATTTTATCACTGTCCATCTCCTGCAGCTTCGTCAGATAGCAGCCCACGAGCCCCAGGCAGACGCTGCGTCCTTAGTGGGTCCTGCTGGCGGCAGTCAGAAGCAACGATCTAGCTTCTTCAGGACTCAGAGCCGCGGGCAGGTCAGCGAGTCTTCCTCAATCAAGTACGATCAGAGGCGAGGCAGCACTAACACCAACATTGTCCAGCCGGTGAGTAGAGTGTGTGTGTGTGTGTTTGTGTGTGTGTAGTGTGTGTGTGTGTGTGTGTGTGTGTGTGTGTGTGTGTCATGCAGCCAGTACCATTACAGTCTCAACAGGTGGGTGACACACACACACACATTCACGACACATGGGTGAGTTAGTGTGTGTAAGTGCGTGTGTGTATAGTCAGTGTTTCATGTGCATTTGTTGGATGACTATACTGTATACTTGTTCTTTTCTGAGTGTGTGTGTCAGATAGAGGTGAGATATTCTAGTATATTTTATTTCTTTTGGTTTTCTTAAGTTCATAAATAACTTGATGGTCTTTTGTGGTAATATTAAAGGGTGTCATAGTACCTACACTATATAAAGCCCCCAGCGTCTCAATACGTTACATGGTTGAAGGTGTTCAGCAGGTGAACTTGTGGTAGAAATCAAGATCTTGTTCATTGACGGACGACTGTCTTGTGTATAGAAGCCTATATAGGGTATACCTTGTTTACTTTGAAGCCCATCTTGTTTACAGGAGCCCACCTTGTTTGTTGAAGCCCATCTTGGTTATTGAAGCCCACCCTGTATGCTGACACTTACCCTGTTTACTGAAGCTACCTTCCTTACACAAACCAACTTTACAAACAGTAACCCACTTGTTTACATACCAGACTTGTTGATCCCTTTCCCCCCTGGATGGTCGTCTATGTAACACAAATATTTTCCCATGTAAACATTGTCTATATTGAGGTGAATGACCAATGCTAGTGACCAAGTCAATAGATCATAGTAGTTCATGAAGAAGTAATTGCCATGCATGTTGAGAACTAACTGTTTCATTTTGAGGTAGTTTAGAACATGTCTTAAACGTGTGTAGTCGAGGGGTTACTTGGTGGCTGTATGTAAATAATGTGTTCGGTGTGTTGGTTAACTAATAAGTGTCTGCCGTATTTATCATTTCATCCTACCTCATGACATAGTGTCCAGAGTACAGTGTTAATTTGCTTTATTATCAACTCTACTTTTTTTCTTCATCTACTTTCACTTTTCTTCCTGTAGCTTCCTTTAACTTCAGATATACTATACATAGACTGAGGCCTTTCAGGTTTATCATTTCTTGTTAACACTGAAGAAAAAAATCTCACTTCTTTCTCAATATTTAAATGAATATTTCTTCTGCTTTGGTAGGAAATTTACGATAGTTCCAAATATGACTTTAATGTTATGTTTATTCAGTGTTCAGGGTCTCTGCTGTCAGTACCTTTTTATTCTGCAATGAAATTTCACCATTTTTGCTCTTTCACATTCTCATTCATATTTCTTTTTTTTTCTCTCTGTAGCTGCAAATTCCTGGGAGCTCCAAATCATCTCAGTCTAAACACTTCTATGCTGGCTTGTCACAACTCTCTCACCACAACCTTCCATCTCTCCACCACTATACTCTCTCTCACCACCATCAGAAAGATCCCCAACTGTCACCTTCTTCCTCCCACCTCAAGCTTCCTTACTCAGATCTGCACCAACACCCCCACCACTGCCATCATCAAGAGGAGAGTCTCCATCACTGTCTTCTTCGCTTGCACTTCGAGGGAGCACTGAGGAGAAGTACCGAGGAGATACACAAAGATTCGCAGGAAAATGTAGGTAACGGCAGCAACAGGATCAAAGAAAACGGAGACTGTAGGAACACAGAGAACGGTGACCGGAGGAACTTAGACAAAAGCACTGACTGTGAGGGCACAGATAAGAGATATCACATCAGCAACTCAGATAATGGCGACCGCGGAAGTATAGAAAACTCAGAAAACAGTAGTAACTCAGAAAACTGTGATGGCGAAAGTGGCGAAAGTAAAAACAGTGATAAAACGGTGCAGAGTGGCGACACAGACACATACACGAGAACAATAAACGAGAGAGCAGGAAGCACAAGTCACGAGTACCATCCTCTCCTGACACCGGGTAGAACACCCAATATAGTTGTGGAGGAGGGAAGCTCTTACTCAAAGATGAAACAGTTACTGCCATCCTCTGGTGTCGCAGGGCTTCCTGGTACTCCTGGGAGAGTCAAATCTAGATGGAAGATAGTAATGTTAAATATCAGGACCCGTAGCACGGAAGATGATATTAAGAGCCCCTTGAGACTGGGTAGTGAAGGCGGGTCTAGACGAAGTAGCATGCTCTCCCACGTCCTGTACCAGGTCAGTTTAGGTCAGAGGTCACTTCAAGTCATAGATCAGCCAACATAATAGACTGGTCAAATCTCTCACGTATTTGGTTATAGCTAAATTAGCTCGAGTATTCTGGGACGTAACCGTGAATAATGAAGAACTTGGTAAGAGCTGACGTGTATGGTACAGAAACCTCGAAGCGATAACTGTCTTGTGGCCACGTCTGGGTACAGCTGAGGAAAAAATTCCTCGGACACTTTGGGCAATATCTACTTAAGGGACTTGTAAGGCTGGGAAACTGGCATTTTAACATCTATTGACTCAGATTTTTCTTAGTAATATTGTTTCTTTCTAAAAAGAATTTATCAGCGTTCATTCATCACATACTGTATATGACCCACAAGCAGTGCCGGATTTAGACCTGTGGAGGCCCATGGGCAGCCTCTTTGTGGAGGCCCCTCTCATTATAACTACCAAAGAGGGTGGGGTGGCGAGTGAAGCGAGCCTAAACATCTGAGAGTTCCGGGGGGCTCTGTAAGCCCCCCGGGAAATTTTTGAAATTTGAACACTTCGTTGGAGAATTTTGAAGCCATGTGCAGTTATATTGAGGAAATTAGAACATTGAGAAATTTTTAATTAACTGTATATTTATTGATAGTGTACAAATTCCCAACACACACACACACACACAAAAGTAAGACATGACTGGAGTCGACCAGCCCTGATATAGCTACTACCTCACATGTCAAAAATTTTCAAGAGACTTCACAGAAAAGAATATATTATTAGTTATTACAGAGAGATGATTCTTTGCATTATTAATCAGATAAACCTCTACTCAAATAATGATTCTGTCCAAGAATGCATGTATAGGCTTCTTTAAGTCCAAGGTCAGATGTAATATGTGGAGGCCCCTGGGCAGCTGCCCACTTTGCCCACTCCTGAATCCGGCCCTGCCCACAAGTCCATATCAAATACGTACAGATGTTCCTGTGAATTATCTGGTCAGTAGTTAAGACAGCGTGATATAATTTAGCTTTAGAATACTATTTTTTTGTGTTAATAGGACTCCTTACACCAGCCCCATAATAAAAGCTAATGATTCTTCAAGCTCATTAAGTTATATTGGTCTCACAATCAATGCGTGCGTCAGGTGCAGTGTATCACGAGGACTCTGGCCGCTTAGATTCATAGTTTCGTGCGTTATAAGTGTCTCTATTAAAGAGCTTATTAAACTCGTATGCGCTTAATGTTTACCGAGGAAGTTCGTAAAAAGAATAAAACTGGATAGAAAACAAAGACGAGTAATTCCTTCTTTTAATATTTGTGGGTGCTATGATGCAGCGGACACCACCAAGCCCCGCCCACTCTTCCCTCACCAATCGATAAGCAATTAACAATCAGTTATTCATATTAATTTTAACCCAGAACTCTAGAATGTAAAGTGTTAATTACATATCACAGTGCCAGAATTAACATTATAATAATTTAAATTGTAAGTACCTGTATTAAATCATGGTAATCAGTGCTGGCTGGACCCACTCATGCAACATGTTCAACGGTTGGTGAATAGTTTTACTCTATTAATTATCTAACTTTTTTGCCTGACTCCCTTTTGTCTTTACCTCTATACTTCTATATTAATCCAGTTATTAGATATTAAGTGTTTCTAAAGGATTCTATCTTGCATATAATGTATGTGTGTACAGTACTGTATGTTTGTCTAGATGCATGATGTTAGTCAGTGTTTTACCCCTCCCTCCCTCCTTCCCTCCCTCCCTCCCTCCCCTTTCTTTTCAATTTGGTGTCTCAAAGATTTGTACATAAAGTTAGTTACCATAAACCTATGAAAATCATAAGCTTTGTCTTGTAAATTTATGTGTGAATCAGATGCATCTTCACAGCCCCAGTTAAAAAAGGTGGACAAATTAACCTTAATATTAACCCATGATTTATTTCACCTTAAGATTAACCACCTAAAACCTAACTTATCTACACCTCCACTCCATCCATTGAGCATTAGGGTGTTTGATCATTAAGTAAAATTAACTAAGGGGTTAATCTTCAGGTAACCCCATATTGGCTTAATTAGATGCATTCTTATACTCTGCATTAATCTTTCAAGTAAGATTTATATTACGCACATTTGAGGATCTCAAGACTAGTTAATGTTTCTCCAGTAAAAATAATAAATAAATAAATAAATAATTCACCATAGATCCATATTGCCTTATCGCCATCCGTCTCCACCTTTTTTGGGTCAGATCTGTCCGTCACCTGATAACTCTCACTTAATTTCCCAGGTGACTTCTTAACACCCACAGGTCATATGTCACCTGACCCACCACAAGGGGAGGGGAGGGGAGGGGGGGGGGTTATGGGGGAACTACTACGTTTTATCGTAAAAATGACGACTGAACTATTACCCATCATTCTGGTACAGGAGGCCAAAATAGGGATTTTGTTCAAAATTCATATTAAGTTACTATTTTACGTGTTGGTTAAGGATCTGTGTTCAGAATGTTAAAATTAGAGTAATTAGTGTTAGTTAATATGCTTTGAACTTATTTAATACTTATATAATATTTAAAACGTCTATACGTTAGTTTTCACTTTCCCTAAAAATGTTGTGTGATGTAAAAAATAGCCTGGAGATGTGAGGTGTCTCGTAAGAAATCTGGTCTCCTTTTTGCATTATTGTTTGAAAAAGCAGGATAGAACGATGCTCACCTGTTCAATTAGATGAATGATTTATTGTACGAACTTTGGAGAATCCCAACCTACTGCTGTGGTAGCAAAGACACAGGTGAGGAGTAAAGTTCTCTCACTGACACTGTGTTTCCTTTGCTACCACATAATTTGGCTCACCAGCTTATGAGTATTTCACCCAACTTCTAAAGCTCACCAAACTCCCTCCTCTGGGTAGTGTTTGGGTTGTTAATATCTGGGTGAAATAACCTGGGGAGTGAATCTTCAGGTGATCTTCTAAATGTTACTTCTCAACCCAGCTAATCCTACCATAATAGCTTCGTTTCCTGTACAATATACTACAGTATTTAGAAAAAGCTAGCCAACCTTTTTTTCACTTCCTGTATACTAGATAAAATACTCTGTGCATGAAAAAACTTATCTTTCTAAAAGACGTAATGTTTTGTCCCCTTTTTTTCTTTATTAGTTGCAAGGCTAATTAAACCAGATAGAACAAGTGTTATTTATATGCATTTTGCCCTAAACACAGACTAAATCAATTTTCCCCTGTAGAGTTTGACAGTTTCATAACTACTGTAAAATTTCCACTCGTAGTATTAACACTAAAAAAGATCAGTGTCTCCATTTAAATGTTTTATTTCATTATTATTATTATCATCATCATTATCATCATCATCATTTTATTATATTATTATTGTTTTGTTGTTATTGTAGTTGTAGTCAGTTTCTCCTTGAACTCTACTAACAACTGATCATCACTCCTTCAGTACGGTGTCAGAGGTGAAACATTATCCAAACCATGAATATTTTTAACTACTGTTCGGTATTAAGGAAACGTGTTGCGTTAGCTTCTCGGTATTGTTATTTTCTTTGTGTGATACGAAGTGCTGTACAGTTCTTTGTCAGTAAGTCTCATTATGGCCAAATACAGCAACCACCATCACTTCATCCTCCTCCTCCTCCTCTGATCCACCTCTTAACCCACCAAAAAAGTTCTTGTGTTTTGTTTTGCTAAGTGGAAGTATTGTGTCTTTATATTTTGCCATCTTTGTCAATGGCCCCACTACTTTTATTACATCACAGACCCAGTCGATTACCTTCTCCCTCCTCCGGCAGGTGACGCACGTCAGCAAACGAGAGGTGAAGGCCGCCAAGAGTCTGAGCATCATCGTGTTGTTCTTTATGATCAGCTGGTTCCCTCTCTACACCATAAACTGTGTCCAGGCGTTTTGTGATGATTGTAAGGTTCATCCAGACCTCATGTTCTTCACTATCATCCTCACTCACCTCAACTCCGCCATCAACCCCTTCCTCTATGCTTACCACATGAAGGTAATACCGCCTGCAGGTAACCATTTGTTAATATGCTGATGAGTTGTAGGTGTTTCTCTACAGATTCCTAAATATATTATAGGATTTTGTGTACAATAGCTGTTATGGTTTTAAATAAATGTTTGGTGTTCATTGTATTTGGTAAGGGTTTTCGTACAGTATATACTGTATGTGCTAAGGGGGTTCCATGTAGCCTGATCTGGTTGTGTATGTGTGTTGAGGGGATGTTATATCTGATAAGAGTTCCATTTACAGTACTGTCATTGTCAAAGGCGTTTGTACACGTATATATGGTTTGGATGACCAAAATTAACTTCATTCCTCACCCACAGGACTTCCGGAATGCTCTCAAGATGTTCATCTTACACCGCCTGCTGCGTCGGCCAGTGGACTTAGATTATGCGTATGGTCGCAGCTTGGTGTCCCCACATCACTCCACTCTTTACCGGGTCAACGTGACAGGCGCAGCCCCCTTAACCAACCTGCACACACCTCATGCTCAGGCCACTCCCATATCTGGTTCCCTCTCGCCCCTCCCAGGCACACCTATAGGGGAACTCAGGTCTCAGTCCTCCACTATGTGCAGTTGCGGTCCTATTTCCTCTCCCCGGAATGTGTCACCCTCCTTGTCTTTCCCCCCTTCTCCTAATATGCCAATGAGCACATCTAGAACCATCCAGGACACTCCTTCATTAGCCTTGCGCCCACGAGCCGCCACAATCACCTCTCACACATCGCCAGCCTCAGCGAGGACACCCATGGCTACTGCAGATGATCCCTCACAGCCTCTGCTTTCATTAACTGCTCCACTACAGCAAACACGAATGTCCGCCACACTTCCTGCTGCGACACTTCCACCATTCTCACTGTCACACACAGTAGATCCTGTGGTACCAACTCAACACAATATCACAGCTCCACATCTTGACAACCTGACAGTGTGTGTTGTTGACATGAATTCAACCAAAAGTGATGTCAGCAGAGAGCCAACTGTTAATTCTTGTTCAACAACAACTTGTGATATTGTTCAAGAGGATGTGAGTGGCATTATGATTTCGGGAATAACTGCAACACCCTCAGTGCTGACAAGTGAAGCTGGTCTGCCTGTTTCAAGAGACCAGATGGAAACTGATATTTCTACTCACTCACTGTCTGCTGTTACTGCTTCCTCTTCATCAGTGTTATCTGCTATTACAAGCAGCTCTGATTTCGTCGGTAATGAAACTAGATGTGATGCCATTGAGGATCAAGTATTGGAATATATACCATGTAAAAAAAAAATGAATAATTGCACTTTAAAGCCAAATATGTCATCATGTGAAACATTACAAAGTATACATTCTTGCATTGAAACCAATTTTTCAAATACCAGTAATCTCACCAGATGTGGAAGTAAAAAAGAAAAACAAGAAGAGACCGATTCCACCACACAATTAACAAAGCAACAGAAGGAAAGTGAAACACAAATTGAGGAGGTTATAAAGGCAGGTGATGGCAGGGGGGTGCCTCAACCCACAAAAGACACTTCCGCTACAATTCCAAACGGCAATGTTTGGAATTCTCCTGCAGTGCCTTTGGATACAAATGGTTCCAAGACACAGAGTGAGGATTACACATCAACATGTGATGCTTCCAGTTTCCCTTGTTTGGGATCCACTATAGAGCAAAAGAAATTAGGGACACCTCGGGAAGGTCTGAATCCCCGGGGGACTGATGGATGCCACACTGAGCAGTCGGGTATATCAAAACAACTTAGTAAATACCTACCAGAAATACTAAGAAGGAGAGAGGGTGGACTCAGAAGCAAAAATACAAGAAAAACTAAGAACTGGTGGGCAGAGATGATGAGACAACGGTCTTACCACGGTATCTCTCTCGAGTTGAAAAATTCTAAACATGTGAAGAGAGCTCAGAGCATCAGTGGTGCCATAGAAACTTAATTCTTTACAATACAATATTGTTACAATTCATTCGTATGCTACTTTTCTCTGATATTGTATACTGTCTCTACATCTTCAAGCAGTGTGGTCATCAAAATGCATACTGAACATTTGTCAAGTGCTTACAATAATTAATACAAGTTCAAACTGGTATCAGTGTTCATTAAACTCTGGCGAGTCCTCATCACTAGCATTTAACTTTAATACAAGGGAGATTAGACAACACAAAAATTCTTGAAATTTCTGTAATGTGAATAATGATGAAAAGACATTTTCTAAATATTTTTAAAGCTTGGAAAGATTTATAAAGTGGTAATAATCACAAACTTATGAGCTTCTGACAATATAAGGAGTATCAGTGTTGTTAATGTGCCCAGAACTTTTGTTGCTACTGAGTAATTATCAGAAACTTTGCCACAAAGTCAGCCAGTTATTACAACAACAATGTTTATGGTAACTATCTTTGTTTACTTGAACTATCATCATGTAGGTTGTCTTGATACACTTTTTATTCTCAGAATTTTTATTGAAAAATAACTTTTAACATGAATGGTTTAAACCTCATTGTTGCTATATATCATAATATGTACAGAATCCTTTTGCCTTCACCAGGTCGAATGCACTGCCGGCCCCACTGCCTCCTAATGTACTGAAAAAAAAAGGCTCAGTCTACAATGTGCTGTATAGTATCCACACTACCCTTAATGGACCACCAGGCCTTCAGGACCCATTTTCACCTTCGCTTGTTACAACTGCAGGAAAGTTCTTATCTGCTAATTGTGTTCCTTTTACAACATAATCTTGACAGATCCTACAGATAACACGGGATCCCTTAATCACTGGGTCTAAAAGTTAACCAAAGTCGTAGCTTTACTGTAGAATGATAATCCAACTCTGGTTCTTGGTGTGGAATAATTTTTTCCCAGATTTTTGTACCAAAACATTTATTTTATACAGTCATGTTATCTCTCACTCGTCCCTTGCTCGCTACCTCCAATGTTTACGGGACAAAGAATGATTCACACATGTTCTGTTGTGAGCGTTGAGTGTTCTTATTGATCTTAGAATGCTTATGGTTTACATCATGAATGCTTGGCCGAATTTTGCACTGTGGATGAACCAGATGTTTGTATTGTTCATTTTGTGTATGAAGTGTACAGTTCAGTATGAAATCTTAGTGTTGGAACATATATTTAGAATGAATCAGAAGTATTTCAGGAACCTCTTTTTAGGTTTACAAATATAACAATTGTTTGTATTAGAACTTGGACACAGTCTTGTGCTTGGCTTCTTGGTCTCACACATTATATACAGCTGATGTAAAGTGCACTCATAACCTGTATTTATCAGACAGGTAGAGATCAGTAGCATAACGTTTCTAGTCTTCCTCAATTTCATGACTCTTTAGAAATCTCATAAAAACATTTAAAACTACGAGTTATGGTATTAAGGTATTGTATCAGGGGTTTGGAACCAGAGTGTTTGTGTAAAGCTACCACAATTCGGGTGTGTTGGAATAATTGTCTCATTAAATCTCGTGGATTTTTATACATGAATAAGTTCAGGGATCTAAAGTTAGCATGATATGGATTTTAGGCCCATAGACACCCTTTAAAAGTCTTCTACACACACACACACACACACACACACAAGTATGTGACTGCGTAGTGGCGGGTTAAACATCAGCTGTTGAGGAGCTGGTTTGCAACACTCACAATCAATTTTGTGGGTAAATATCAGATGTTCACCTCCTCACCACAATCTCCTTCACCACCTCCACCCATGCACATCCACTACCTCCATTATCACCACCTAAATCACAGTTTCAGTGATGGGTTAGAATCAAGGCAGCTTCAGAGCAGAGCCGTGTGATGTCCACTGTCTCCCTCCTGCCTCCCACCCACCCACCCACCCATCCACGCACTCCATCTCAATCTACAATTGTCACTACTCTTAATCAAACGACTGTCATTATTGATACAATATTGCTTAATTGTTATTCATTAATTAGTAAATACAGTACAGGGTATACGTTACTTTAATAATCTACGTTTATTTATACCTGTACCCTTCACATACATCATCAGGAATGCATCTCCTTATAAACTACAGGGCATTCAACATAGTGACAGTGCAAAAAGTAGGATTTACTGGGAGTGAATACACTGGTTTATTACAAGTTATTGATAATTTTTACAATGGTTGGGACTGGGCTGTTCTTATAGCGATCAGTTCGTGCTCGTATGGGCTGGATGCGGTTGTGGTGTTGAACAGCAATTCTCAGGCTAGGGATCTCAGGTGGTAGTAGGAGCCGGTGTCGGGGATGGTGCAGAAGCTTCTTACCAAATTTGCAGATGAGGTCGTGGTTATGGTCAGTGAGATTCGAAAGGGTCAGTGTGTTGAGCGCTTCTTGATATGTGGAGTAGGAAGGGGAGAGAATAATCTTGCATGCCCTCTTTTGCACTTTTTCTAGGTGTTTACGTTGTGTGGCATTTAGGGAGGAAGACTAGGTAGGGGAGGCATAGGTAAGCTTGGGAAGTATGAATGTTGAGTAAACACCGAGGAGCTCGGGTGCAGGAACTCCGAGAGACTTGAGTCGGCGAAGGAGGTGGAGACGGAAACTGGAGGATTTGATAACTTCACTGACGTGTGGTTTCCAATTTAGTTTGTTGTCTATGTCTATGATGACGCCGAGGAGCTTTGTGAAATCTACAACCTGGAGTGTGTTGGGACCTAAAGTAATGGAAGGGGGTGGGACAACGTCGGAGGAGAGGTTGATGTGCATAACCATGGTCTTGGTATGGTTGATGGTGACGTGGTTGTTGGTGGCCCAGTTTTGGAGACTGTTCAATAAATCCCGAAGGGCGGTATAGTCGGGAGCAGAATTGTTGACGCTGATCCCAATGGTGGAGTCGTCGACATATTTCCAGCGAGCAGAGGTTTCTCTTAGGGCATCATTGATAAGCATGAGGAAGCATAGTGATCCCATCTTGTGCCTTGGGGGACGCCAGAAGGTGAGTGAGTGAAAGGTAGAGACAGCCCCTCGGAAGCGTACAGCTTGGCGTCGGTCACTGAGGAAGTCTGTAAGCCATGGTATAAGACTTCTTCGAAACCCGAGGTCAATAGTATCTGAACCTGCTCTAGTGCTTATCCAGTCTGGTCTTAAAAGAGCTCACGCTCGGTGCCGTCACAACACTCTCTGGCAGGTTGTTCCATGAGTTCACAACTCTCACTCTGAAAAAGTTACCCCTCACAATTTTATGTACTTGCGGCTTCTTTAACCTTGAGCTGTGTCCCCTTGTGGGGCGAGCGTCCGCCAGTTACAGGTAGGGGCACTCGACTGAGTAGTGCCCTTTGAGATGCTTATTCACCTCAATTAGCCCCCCCCCCCCTTGCCCGTATGTAGTATAAGCTAGGCAAGTTCAGGCGCTCCAATCTCTCAGGGTAGCTGAGGTGCTGCAGTGCAGGCACCAGTCTGGTGGCCCTCCTTTGGACATTTTCAATCAACTGACAGTCCCTGGCATATCTCGGAGACAAGACGGGGTGACAGTACTCCAAACGGAAAAGCACGTCACTCTTGAAGATTGTTACGAGGTACGGACCGTCTAGATATCCGAACGACCTTCTTATCAGACCTATTAATTTATTTACCTAATTTACCTTCTTCTCACAATGGCCCGAGAACTTCCGTTCATTGTCAACATACACACCAAGGTCCTTTTCACATTCCGTCTCATTTAATGCAGTCTCTTCGTCCTCCTTACCATTGGTACGTCCCAGGTGCATCCTCTTACACTTCGTGACATTGAATCTTAGAAACCACTTCTTTGACCGTTCTTGAAGCTCACAGAGATCCTTCTGTAGCTCTTCACAGTCCTCTTGGTTCTTAATTTCCCGAAATAACTTGGTGTTATCTGCAAACATTTGTATGGAGGAATGTACAGCTTCAGGCATGTCATTTATGAAGCAAACAAACAGCAGCTGGCCCAATACACTGCCCTGTGGTACCCCGCTTGTGACGGGTACAGATGATGATTTCGTGCCATAAATCACCACACACTGCTTGCAGTCATGTAGAAAGTCTTCTATCTACGCTCGGACATTTCCCCGAACCCTGTACCCTTCCAGTTTAATTGTCAGTCTTTCATGGGGTACACTGTCAAAAGTCTTGGCAAAATCATGGTAAATATTGTCGATATTACCACCCTGTTCCAGAATTTGGGTCCAAACGTCCATTACCTTGAATAATTGTGTCAAGCAGGAGCGCCCCGGCATAAAACAGTGTTGGCAATCATTTACAAAGTTGTTTAGTAGTAGATGTTCCATCTTGGAATCTCTTATAATGCTCTCAAGAACTTTACCTATTATTCTTGTTAGGGTCACTGATCTATAGTTATTCGTGGAGTAACGATCGCCCTTCTTGAAGATGGGACTCACATAAGCTATTTTCCAATCACTGGGGACGTTTTGCTCATCCAGGCATTTACTGAACAGGATCTTCAGGGGCTCAGCTTGCTCGGTGCACAACTTCCTTAGCACTCTGGGATGTACCATGTTCGGTCTTATTTATTATTAAAATATATACCGTACCGTGTATTGCCCTTAATGAGGATTCCTGAGAGTGGTCTAATCAGATTTTATATAAGCTTAATGAGAGCCAATAGGTACGAGAAGACTCTTGATGTATAAACATGTTGGAGGGGAGAGGGGGACTGGTCAGTGACATGATCGCAAGTTTCTATGCCGGTAATTATTTATTATTATACAGTGTTCTCGCATGATCAGCCTCTTATGGTGGATGTTTCATCATTAATAATATAAAATATTAAGTAATAGAAAAAAATATGCCAGGTGTCCGTATGTCTTTTTGACCTTATGATAATCTTCTTTTTTTTTTTGCACATACAGTATAAAGAATTGTGTGTGCATGTACTAACAGTGAAATAAATTTAATAAAAATACGTATATCTACTCGAAATTTTGAGTTGAGAATTGACACAAATCAGAGGTTGGCCCAGTAGGGGTGAAGCTGCGGCAAGCCCACCTGGTTTAAAATATTACTCTAAGAGTCTAAGGTATCATAATATTTCATTTGTGAATAAGAGTGATATAGTTTGCAAATATCAAATATGGTGTTAAAATATCAATTGTGGATAAGTGGGGTTGAGAATAGCGAGGTATTCCTGTACTATATATCATCCATCATCAACAAACTGTATATACAGTATATCTAACCCTGGTATCCAAAAGTAAATTTTTTCTGAGTTATAAAAGCATTATCTAAGTTTTTTTATAATTCCTTTTTTTTTCAATATCAAACCCACTTTCATGAAATTACAGTTCTTATAATTTAAGTTTGCTTCCCATGAAGGTTTGATTACCAAAAGTAACATTCTTGTTATTGTAAATGTTTCTAAAAGATCAATTTCATTTTCATATTTCCATGGCCTATCTTCTTGTTACCATAATGTACAAGTGGATGCTAAGTGTTTGCATGTCCTCTCTGTGTACATTAACGCTGTTTGTAAGATAACTTTAATGTTAGCTTTCATAAGTTTTGCTCAGTGCTTGTTTATTCAAGTGTAGTGAAGTGTACTCATTATTTACTAGTCAGATTTGTAAGTGGCAACTCGACCAGTGCACCAATAACTTTTTTCTAACAACAGTGTGTAAGTCAGGATTTTTTTATGTGGGAACAATATATGGGTGTGACAAACCCATTGTGACGCAAATTTGTAAAACAGTTATAAAGCCCTCGGATAGCGTGTGTGTGCAGAGAAGTCAACCTGTACTGTATGTTGTATATATGTGAAACCTTTCAAGACCTCTCATGGTCAGTCATCAAGACTTTGTGTATCGACTGTGTTAACAAATGGTCAAGCCTTATTGTGATAAGTGTCATGCCCACATTATTTTAGGAGCCTCTCAAAAGGCTTGTTTATGACTCTCTAAAACCCATAATGACATAAATTTATGATTAAGTTATCAAAGTCTTATAAAGCAAGTGAAGACAGGTGGTCAAGCCTTGTTGTGATAAGTGTTGAACCCTTATTATTATCTTGGGAGTGTGTGTTGAGCTGTGCCAGAACGGTTATAACATGTACTGTATTACTCTTAAATGTTGTACAAACCATGTGTAATATGTACACATAATATACTTTGTATGTTAGTTAAAAGGATATTTTTAAATTACAAAATAAAAATAAACAAATAGTTGTTAAATTTGGAAACATATGGAGTTTGAAGTTAGACTCTCAGAAAATATGAGGTTGAAAGAATATTCCTGGTAAAGTACCTGGTATAGATGGATGCATAATATGGATGTTTGAATGAGATAGGTACAGACTTCAGTATTCTGTGGTACAAATGGAAAATTCACTGTGTAGGAAGAATTTAAGGTAGAGAGAGATTGTAGAGTGTAAAAAAAGTAGATGATCTAGACTGGAAACTATATGGTGCAGTTATAGTTTGCAAAGTATTGAAAGAGTGGGGGATACAAGTTTAATTGACTCAGAAATATATGGTACTGCACTGCTACAGAGTGCAGAGTACCGAAAGGGTGTTTGGTGCAGGTACAGAATAGCCTCTGAGGAATATATGGTACACATAAATGATAAAAGAGAGCACAAAGAGTACACTTAAGTCAGATGACAATCAAAATACTATATAGTGTTCACTGTAGCAACAGAATTTTGGGGGTATACGGGTACTGTCTTGTACTCAGAAACTGTCTGGCCAAATGCTGGGAATCTACAGTGTATGTGAGACAGAAGACAGTGGGAGTATACAGGGCATGGCCAAACACTGGATCTTTATGATGTATATCTAGAGACGGGAGTGTATGAGCTAACATAGAGGATTGTACATTGTGTTGTTAGTAATTGTAAGTACTGTATACAGTGTGTAACCAGACACTATGGGAGAGTACAGTGTATGGCCAGATACTGTACTGGGAGTGTACTGTATCTCCAGAGGATTTGGTGAAAGATTAAGCCTGAGTGCAGTATATACCTAGAGAGAGAGTGTACAATGTATGGCTCACTACAGGAATGTACAATGTTACAGTGGAGTCAATTTAGAGAGAATTTGATTGGTAGGATTAAGTTGCATGTATAATCAGCATGAAACATCTGAGTGCCATATTTATGTAGTATATTTTAGGGTTGTATGTCTTGTGTGAAAAAAGACAAAATGGCTTACATTAGGATGAGATTTCAAGTTAACATG